CTGGTGTCAGCGAAAAGGACGAGGCTGGCAGCACTTCGTCCAAACGCCCAAAAAGGGAGGAATGGAATTGTCCTTTGTGCGATTGTTCCACAGGGGTACACAGGCTGTGGCCGCAGAAAAAGCAGGCCCACATCAATGCTTGGCATCCTGATGAGAAGGAGAGGTTGAAGCTCACTCCCGCTATGGGTCAGCTTTGTCACGCCGCCCCTGGTATGAGTTTCAAGTGGAAGTGTCACTTGTGCAACATGGTCATTCCTGAAGATGCCGATCTCAGCAGAGACCAGGTGCTTCGCATGAAACTGAGGCATAGAGAAGAACACCATCCGAAAGCGAATGTGCAGCGTTTCAAAAGCGATGGAAGTTACAGGGCGGCAAATGCAGCCAAAGCTACGATTCAAGTGCGCGCAGCTGGCATGGCAAAACGCCTGTTGGGCCTCAAAAAAGGTGATGCCGGTTCCCACGAACCAGTGTTGGTTACCCTCCCTATGACTGGCAAGGCCAAACAGAAAAGAGGAGGCATGGCAAAGGTTATTTGTCGCAAATGTGGCAAGATGGCGAATCAAGCAAAGGAGCTTGCTACGCTGTCCTGTGAAAAGTATGTGGCCGGCAATGGCCCCAAGAGGAAGAAGATGCTGGCAAGGCTCCGCGCTTGTCTCAACAAAGCGTCCATCAGTGATGCTCTCAAGGATGGTGCCCGTACAGTTTTGAACATTATTGACTCAGGCAAGGGAAGCTCCAAAGACACTGCGCCCAAACACCATATTGAGGCACTTGTCTGGCCGGTAGATTTCACGGTCCGTTTTGCTTGCACGAGATGCAAGCGGTGCATGAAGGACGAGAAACATTTCCGTGGAATGTCTTGCGCCAACAGCACCGTTTGGAACCAAAAGAGAAAAGGCAACAAAGACGCCTTGCTGGAGCTCGCCAACAAAGTACCTGGGGCGAGGCAGAGAGCGGCGCTCCGTGCTTTGGAGATTTTGGGGTTTCAGCAAGAGGAAGGTGATTCTACGGACCAATGACGGGTACGTCTAGCACTTTAAGGTTGGGAACTATGAATGTCCGGTCATTGAGTGGCCGGTTGGGTGGCGTTTTTGAGTTAGCAAAGACTGAGCAGATCGATGTTCTTTGTTTGCAAGAAACTAGAGTCAATGTCGACAGTTGGAGCGCTGTCAAGTCAGCTGCAAACCAGCGAAAGTGGCAAGTTTTTCCTGGCGGCCAAGGGGTAGATGCCAAGAATGTGGTGATTGGCGGGACGTTAGTTTTGTCAAAGTGGCCTGCTGAAGCGTTGGCCATTCCAAGTCAGTTTGCACCGGCTGACCGTGCCATGGCGCTGAAGCTTTTTCGACCTCACCAGCGACCGCTTCTTCTGATCAATGTGTACCTACATGCCAACGATCAAACAGCTGCTGGCCACGCCTTGGCTGCCATTTTTGAATACGTTGCTATGCTGGGCGAAGAAGCAATCATTGTGGGCGATTTCAACAGGGAAAGGCATGTTTGGCCGGCCTCCACCGCGCTGGCGTCGGGGCAATGGTATTCTTGCGATGAACAAGTCTGCGGAGACCAGATTGGCCCTGGCACCCATCGCAACTCAGATGGTGAATACACAGGGGTGGTCATTGACTACGCGCTTTCAACTCCCAGAGTTGTTGTTTCCGGAAGAATGCAGTCTTTAGGTGTTGCTGACCATGATGCAGTCATTTACGATATACATGTGCATGGTAGTTTACCCACGCCTTGGAGATTGCCGGCAAGCGCACCACTCTTGCTTTGCAATGTGGAGGTTGAGAACTGGAATGTTGCTTGGGCAGAATCACAGCAAGATTTCACCGATGCTCTGGCCGTCGGAAATGTGGATCAAGCTTGGGTGGTCCTGAGCAACTGTGCTGAATCTTTGCTGCTTGCACAAGGCAAGCCCAGCAGGGCATCAAGGGACGGCCCGCACAAAATGGCGAGCCCCCCATCAACCAAAGCTCCTACGTTACAGACTTTGGAGGAGCGAAAGCTGAGAAGATTTGCACGGCGGGTGGTCGAATATCAAAAGGCTCCTTCGCCGCAATTGCAAACCAAGCTGTTGCGCGATGCTCCGCTTTTGCACTCGTCTCTTACTGCTTTTTCTTTATCTGATGGTGGTTTGGCTCCCGCCGCTTTGCTTCTTGCAGATGAGGTGGCCAAAAAGGCGTCTCAGCGACGCCTTGCTGCTTGGAAAGAGGACATTCAAGAAAATGTTGCGAAACTGGGGAAGTGGGTTCAGCAAAAACCACCTGATCCACCTACAGCAACACAGGTCGATGGTCCTATTTTGCCTGAAGATAAGGCAAGACAGGAGGCAGCTGCGTGGCACACGCATTGGAATCCGGACCACCTCCCACATTTAGACCAGGTTTCAAACTTGTGTTTGCAGCTCAACAATCAGGTCGACCCAGTCACGCCTGAAAGCATTCAAGTGGTTGGGGCTGATTTGGCGCGTTCTGCGTTGAAAGCTAAACAAAAAGCGGCTGGTATGGATGCTTGGACTGCGGCTCATTTGTGCAAGTTGCCGGAGTCCTTTTGGAATCACGTTGCAGTCTTGTGGTCGGCGTGCATGCAGTGTGCGAAAGTTCCTACAATGTGGAAAGATATTCGCATAGCCTTGATTCCAAAGGCAGCCGGGGGCCTGCGCCCACTTGCCATCACGACGGTCCTGTGGCGCATCTGCATGAGTGCAACTTTGCAAAAGCTCCGACCATGGATACAAGAATGGGCCTTGCCTCAGCTTTGTGGCGGCCGTCCAGGAAGAGGCATTATGGATGTTCATGAATTGCTCTACGAAGACATTCGTGCTGCCAAACGTTCAAGAGTTGATTTTGTTGGCTGCAAGGCCGATATCCGTAGGTGTTTCGATTCAGTTTGTCCAAAGACTGCACTTGCTATTTGGCGCTGGTTGGGTGCTCCGGCCAGTTTGTGTGACATGGTGGAAAATTTTTACACTGACCAACGCAGGTGGTTTGCCTGGCAAGGCATTTTCCATTCAGAGCCCATTTGTGCTCGGCGGGGGCTGCTGCAGGGCTGCCCGGCAAGCCCAGCCTTACTCAATGCGGTGATGGTAGTCTGGGTGCGCTTCGTTCTTTTGCAAGAGCCTCGTGTTTCTCTTGCAGTTTATTTGGATGACCGCACAATGTGGAAGAAAGGTGTCAACGGCATTCACGTGGTCACCAACGCCATGCAGGCAGGTGCGCAGGTTGATGCAATTCTGGGCATGGAACTCCATCCTGACAAGTTAAATAGTTTCACAACCAAGCAACATTTGACGCCTCAGCTGTCACAGATACAGGACGTGTTGGGGGCTCCTTGCAGCAAGTTCACGCTTCTGGGTATTCAGTACAATTTGGAGCGTGCAGGTGCTTGTGTTAATGCAGAGAAGCTTTCCTTTGACATTCAGGAGAGGTGTCGCAAAATCAGGTTGGCAGCGAAACGTTTGGGCACCCGCAAGACCTTGCTGGGACAGTTGGTGATCTCTTTGTTTGCACGGACAGGAGCTTTTTCACCACTATGATGTTGATACCATCAAGAGTTGGACCTCCAGTATTGAAGCAGCGGTCTGGGGGCGCAAGCCTGCCCCAGGTCGCAGTAGATTGCTGTTCTGGAACTCTTTGGGCACACCGCGTTTGCATCCTGCTTTTGCGCTTCACTTTGCTGCAGCCCGGGCTGAATGGCAGCGCCAGTGCCGCTTGGCCATAGGTGTGCCCGCCGCTGTTTCGCCAGGCCCAAGGTGGAATACTGTTTGCAAAGACTGGAATTGGCGTGTTGAGGGTGGTTTGTGGATCACTCCCGTGGGGACTTTGAAACCAGGATGGATGTCTTCTTCAAGCTTATACAAAGCTGCTGCTGCAGCATGGCTGGCTTTTATGTGGACGAAGGACACCAAAACGGAGGGTCCTTTACCTGAAGGTAAGTTGCCTGTGTTCCAATTCCAGGCCAATGTGGCGCATGATTTGAACTGTTGTGGTCGCAGAGTCTTGACAGGTGCAGCAGTGGATGGGAGAGTTACTCAACGTTTGGAAGTCGACTTGCAGTGTGATTGTGGTTTGAGCTCTCCTGATCGTGAGCATTTCACTTTCTACTGCGAGGCAAATCCTTGGCATGGTGATCTCAAAACTCCAACTGAAAGGCGGTTGCTTGTTCCTCTTGTGGATGCTCCAGCTGTTCTTCCATTTGAAGATATGGCGGCCGACCCCATTCTGGTGGCTTTTCTACAACAGTTTGACCCACATCAAACGCCGACTTTGGGCTTGGATGGAAGTTGCGCAATTGCTCCAGGGTGCGAACTTTGGCAGCGTGCCAGCTGGGCTGTGGCGGCACATCTTGGGCCCACGGTCAATGGGTTGGTGCATGGTTTCGAGCAAACTCCTGCTGCGGGCGAGAGAGGTGCACTTCTTCAAGCCTGCTTGGCTTCCCATGAAGCGAACAGAGCGGTGCGCTTGCTGATTGACAACCAAGCTCTTGTGCAACGTCTTCATCGTGGCATGCGGCTTGGTCAGTGGGGTGGAGATCTTTTTCCATACTGGCATTATATCAGGATGCTTTTGGTTGATGGCTCTTCTTGTGCTTGGATTCCCTCGCTTAATAAAGTTCCTCGATGGCGCCCACCCGAAGGGTGGCTTGATGTTTTGCGTTGCCGCATGCTCAATGCCAAAGCGGATGCTAGCGCGGCTGATCTTACAGGTCAATTTCGGCAGGTGATTGCTACTTGTTTGTCACAACACAGAGAGGCAGTTGTTTGGGCTGGAGAAGCTTGGAAGGCGCAACTAAAGGGTTCTCTTCCCTACTGGCAAGTTTTGCTTGAACACGAACCACGTCAAAACAGGTCGTTTGAATGAGCGTTTGCTGCTTCTTCAGCTGCATGGGTGGTACTTTTCTTGGCTTGAACTTGCCCTCCGGTTTGTTCAGTGCAAAGAGCTCCGGCTCTGCGTTGGCAATTTCGGCGTCTTAACTACTTCACTTCGGTGAGGAGCAGGTTGACGTCCTCCTCCAATCCAATCCAACCCACCTATGTCTCCCGGGCCTGGTGCATTTTCGAAAGCTACGTGTCGCGTCCGGAAATGCAGGTGTTCCACGGGTCCACAGCTGTGTTTGTGGCACAAGACCCAAAATATTTTCATCGGAGTTTGCCTGGGTCACCCGCTTAACCACAGAAGTTTTTTTGAAGAGATGTGATGTTAGGTGCTTTGACGTGGACACTGAGGTATGCATCCAACAAAACTTCTCGATGGAAGTGATCCTTCCCAATTCGGCGGAGGAATTCTTCCGACATGCCTTGTCGGCTGGTGATGCCGGGCAGCTTGGCATTGGTGCATTGAAGATGCAGGGAGCGCAGCAAGGGGAATAGTCACCCAACCAGTCCTATGCACAGTGCAGCACTTGACAGCCCTTAATTTCCATGTTGGCTGATGACTTCCACATGTTTTTCGCCTGTCGCATCATAATATGTTCGTCATGTTTTCATGTTTTCGTCAGGTTTTCATCATGTTTTCGTCAAGTTTCCATCATGTTCTCACCATGTTTTCCACATTTTTTCCGAATGTTTGTTTCATTTTTTTCACCTTTTTTGTTTCATGTTCATCTTTTCATGCGAGGCTTCGTGAGCTCACCCAAGCCGTTGCATCTTTAGACGTCCGAGATGCGAAGGCTCATCAACGCGCCGATGAGGCCCGGGTTAGCGTCGCCACAGCCGGCTTTCACATCCCTTGGCAAACTTGTCATGTCATTGTTCTTGTCATGTTTTTCCCCAGGTGAGGGTTGTTCAGAACTTCTCCTTCTTCCTCCCATCCTCCTCTTTCATTGTTATTTTGCGGCTGAGGTTGGTTGAGGTTTCGATTGTGATGTTGATCTGCTTGTTGATGTTGAATATGTTGAATGTGACCCATTATGATCAAAAACCAACATGTTTTGAGTCCATGTGAGCAGCACAGCGCAGCGCAATGTCGTTGCAGGATTCGATCAAGAAATTGATCCTCAACGACATCGGCTTCGACGCGGTGAACCATGCAGTGCGTTCGAGATTGGTGGAGGAATTCAAGTCACTGTGTCCAGGCTGCAATTTTGGTCGGTTTGTTTCAGTCGATGTGGTCATCGTTGTGGTTCGTGGTGAGAAAAGCCACCGATAGAAACATGTGGAAACATTCCATCTTCACCTTCACCGAAGTTGTAGATTTCCAGCTGCTGGAAGCACAGGTTTATGCTGGCCCACCATTTTGTTTTGGTTTCGACGTTACGTTTGGGTTTGGATCAGATGGGACGGTTCCAATTAAGGTTTCAGGTTGCCATGCTTCACGTCGGAAGTTTTTATGGTGGGAACCAGGAAGGCATTGGGTGAAATGCAAACCTGACTCTTGGAATTCTCCGGAAGGATTTCGAACTCGAAGTGCTCTGTGGGCAAAGGTTGATCCTTTGTCTAAGACGCCAATGGAGGTAGACATGACAAGAAACCGCAACTGCAACAACATGATGACATACCATTTCTGCTTGAGTTGTCCGGGGTGGCTACAGAAGGGTCTTCTGCCAATATTTAAAAATACAAAAAAAGTACGAACAAAAATACAACCCACAAATACAAAATCAGAACTGCAGGGTTTGGAAAATACAACTGGTTGGTTTTGTATTTTTTTGGATTTTGGTTCCTGATTTCCAAAAGTGAACACGGGGTTGGCTCTCTGGCTTATTTTTGAATTTGTCTTTCCTTTGTATTTTGTATTTTTGAAATTTTGGGTTCGTATTTTTTTTTGTATTTTGTATTTTTGAAATTGTTGATTCGTATTTTTTTTGTATTTTGTATTTTTGAGCAATTGCATTCGTATTTTTTGTATTTTTTCTTTTTTTTCGTTTTTTTTGTAAAAATACAAAAAAATACTTAAAAAATGCAAATAAAATACAAAAAAATACACTTTGTATTTTTGTATTTTTTTGTATTTTTCCATTACGTCCAAAAATGCAATTTGTATTTTTGTATTTTTTTTGTATTTTTCCAGTCCTTCACAGATTGCACTTTGTCCTTTTGTATTTTTTGCGTTCTTTAGACATGCCGTCAAAGAACAAAACCGCGAATCCATCAATGTATGTTGTATTTTCCTTTTGTTGATAATTTTGCCCTGCTCAGTGTTGTATTTTTTTTGTAGTTTGGAGTTGTATTTTTTTTGTATTTTTTTTTTGTATTTTTAATGATTACAGGGTTCACACAGTCTGTAGCAGACCTGGGACAACTCAAATCTCTGCGAAATCAAAGTTTTCCGTACTACTATCCATTATGTTTCTTCTTTCATGTATATAATTCTTGTGATCACCGATGCCAGTCGATGTTTGACTTGTTGAACTTGTTCTATTGAAGAGCGTGTTGTAACCGATCCATGTTTAATTGTTCTATTGTGAAACTATAAGTGTTATTGCCTATCGAAACTATCAATGTACAACTATTGTTACAATGTTCGAAGGAAGTTTAGAAGTCAAACTTCCGACAATATGGACAGATGAAAAGCAGAGCAGGGAAGAGGCAGAGAGAAGAGAAAGATCAGAAGAGAGAAGAGTAGAAGAGAAAGAGTAAGAAGAAAGAAGATGGAGATGCGCGAAAAGGTAGGAAAGTCGCGATTCACTGTGTTTTTCCAATGATTTGTGGCTCCGGAGGGTCGAAAAGTAGGCTCGCTAAAGCGGCGGGTGCGGAGCCAGCTGGCCAGATGAGACATGAAAAAGTGCACGCCGTTGTGGCGCGAAGCACAGTTCCAAGTCAAAATGTACAAAACACTACATGTTCGCGCCACTTTTGGAGGTTCAGATGTCGAAAAAGTGCACGCCGTTGTGGCGCGAAGCACATTTCCAAGTCAAAATGTACAAAGCACACCAGTGTCGGACCACTTTTGGAAGTTGCGATGTCGAAAAAGTGCACGCCGTTGTGGCGCGAAGCACATTTCCAACTCAAAATTTAAACAAAGCACCTCAGTGTCGGCCACTTTTTTGGCGCAGTTGAGATGTTTGAAAAGTGCACGCCGTTGTGGCGCTAAGCACATTTCCAAGTCAAAATGTCACAATCACCCCAGCTCCGGACCACTTTTTTTGCAGTTTAGATGTCGAAAAAGTGCAACGCCGGGAGGGTTGGCGCGAAGCACATTTCCAAGTCAAAATGCACAAAACACACCATTGTCGGACCACTTTTGGAAGTTGAGATGACGAAAAAGTGCACGCCGTTGTGGCGCGAAGCACATTTGGAAGTCAAAATGTTAAAAACACTAGGGGTTCGGACCACTTTTGGAAGTTCAGGTCTCGAAAAAGTGCACGCCGTTGTGGCGCGAAGCACATTTCGAAGTCAAAATGTTAAAAGCACTAGGGGTTCGGACCACTTTTGGAGGTTCAGATGTCGCTTCGCTTCACTACACTACACTACATTACACTAGACTACATTCCACAACACTACAACCACAACTACACAACTACACAACTACACTCCACTACACTCCACTACACTAAATTACACTCCACTACACTACACTACCTTCCACTACACTTCACTACATTACATTACACTGCACTACACTACAACTACAACTACAACTACACAACTACACTCCACTACACTCCACTACACTAAATTACACTACACTACACTACATTACACTACACTACACTACACTCCACTACAGGTTGGCTAAGATGATTTTGCATGTTCATGAGAGAGGTTGAGAGGTCAGGGCGCTGATTTCCTGAGAGGGGTTACATTTTGGAGTATCAGGAGTGTAGGTTTGCTAAGAGGATTTTGCGCAGCCGCAGTACTTTAGATAGTTGGGGCAGAAAAATCGCAGAACGAATTGGCACGAGGGTATGAGTGCAGCACTGATCTTTCCATTTTTGGAGCAAGTTTCGCAGAAGTGGTTCGTCCTTGATGTTGTCAACTTAAGTCTCGCAGACTTGTTTGGTGTATCAAGCTGTCAAGTACCAAAAAAGATAGATAGATAGACAGATAGATAGATAGATAGACAGATAGATAGACAGATAGATAGATACATAGATAGATGGACAGATAGACAGATAGATAAACAGTCAGAGAGACAGCGAGAGAAATAGATGGAGAGATAGACAGATAGATACATAGACACATAGACAGATAGTTAGATACCAAGACAAATAGAGAAATAGATGGGTAGAGACATAGCCAGGTAGATAGACAGATAGACAGACAGAGAGAGAGAGAGAGATATATATATAGAGAGAGAGAATTTGATCGATTGATAGAAAGATAGACAGATAGATAGAGAGATAGTTAGATCGATGGATAGATAAAAATTGATAGATACACAGACATATAGATAGATTGATCGACAGATGCATCGACAGATAAACGTGGGATGCAGCAGAGAGGAGCTCCACACTAGTATTGGGATCCCTTTTTTCCTATTTTGCTGCCGCTGTTGCATCCGAGGTTGGGTTGTTTCAGTGGATTGTAGAAAAGGTACGGGGGATCATGTTTCTTGGAAGCACATCGCGGTGCTACATGCAGTCAAGTGGCATCAAACAATAAAGGCAGATTGTTTGAGTCACCAGATTTTGTTCGCCAAAGTTGGTGAGTCACTATCTGTTTTCCGACGGCACTACGGTGCCGCAGCATCGGTAATTCCTTACACTGCGTCCCTTGGCCTTTCTCTGACCGCACGATGGCACATCAGCACAAGGAATTCGTTGCAGGCCAGCGTGTGTGTCTTGTCTGACTGCACGATGATGCACTCGAGCATTTGTACTTCATTGCAAGCCCGGCCTCGTGTCTGTCTTATCTGACGGCACGATGATGCCTGCTAGCACAGCGGCAGCCGAAGATTCTTGTCCGTTGCTGCTTGGAAACTAGACGACGGATGGCCCGAGAGCGTAGAGGAGCAGAGTCTTCTGTTGTTAGTATGGAGACACGCTTTGTACACACAGGCTCTTTTACACACAGACGCTTTTACACACAGACACTTTTACACACAGACGCTTTTACACACAGACGCTTTTACACACAAACGCTTTCTACGCACAGGGGCTTTTACACACAGAAGCTTTTACACACAGACGCTTTTACACACAGACGCTTTGTACACACAGGCTCTTTTACACACAGACGCTTTTACACACAGAAGCTTTTACACACAGCGCTTTTACACACAGACGCTTTTACACACAAACGCTTTCTACACACAGGGGCTTTTACACACAGAAGCTTTTACACACAGACGTTTTTACACACAGACGCTTTTACACACAGACGCTTTGACACACAGACGCTTTGACACACAGAAGCTTTTACACACAGACGCTTTTACACACAGACGCTTTTACACACAGAGGCTTTTACACACAGAGACTTTTACACACAGAGGCTTTTACCCGCAGACGATTTTACACACAAACACTTTTACACACAGAGACTTTTACACACAGAGATTTTTACACACAGACGCTCTTACACAGACGATTTTACACACAAACACTTTTACACACAAACACTTTTACACAGAGAGACTTTTACACACAGACGCTTTTACACACAGAAGCTTTTACACACAGACGCTTTTACACACAGACGCTTTTACACACAGACACTTTTACACACAGACGCTTTTACACACACCGACAGCTTTTAATTATAATTAACACACAAACACTTTTACACAGAGAGACTTTTACACACAGACGCTTTTACACACAGAAGCTTTTACACACAGACGCTTTTACACACAGACGCTTTTACACACAGACACTTTTACACACAGACGCTTTTACACACAGACGCTTTCTACACACAGGGGCTTTTACACACAGAAGCTTTTACACACAGACGCTTTTACACACAGACACTTTTACACACAGACGCTTTTACACACAAAGACTTTTACACACAGAGACGCTTTTACACACAGAAGCTTTTACACACAGACGCTTTTACACACAGACGCTTTTACACACAGACGCTTTTACACACAGACGCTTTTTAGACACAGGCTCTTTTACACACAGAGACTTTTACACACAGAGGCTTTTACCCGCAGAGACTTTTACAAACAGACGCTTTTACACACAGACGCTTTTACACACAGACGCTTTTACACACAGACCCTTTTACACACAGGCGCTTTTACACACAGACGCTTTTACACACAGACACTTTTACACAAAGAAACCTTTGCACACAGACGCTTTTACACACAGACGCTTTTACACACAGACGCTTTTACACACAGACGCTTTTACACACAGACGCTTTTACACACAGACGCTTTTTACACACAGGCTCTTTCACACACAGAGACTTTTACACACAGAGGCTTTTACCCGCAGAGACTTTTACACACAGACGCTTTTACACACAGACGCTTTTACACACAGACGCTTTTACACACAGACGCTTTTACACACAGACGCTTTTACACACAGCCGCTTTTACACACAGACGCTTTTACACACAGACGCTTTTACACACAGACGCTTTTACACACAGACGCTTTTACACACAGACGCTTTTACACACAGACGCTTTTACACACAGACGCTTTTACACACAGACGCTTTTACACACAGACGCTTTTACACACAGAGGCTTTTACACACAAACACTTTTACACACAAACGCTTTTACACACAGATGCTTTTACACAGACGCTTTGACGCACAGACGCTTTTACACACAGACGCTTTTGCACACAGTCTTTTACACACAGACGCTTTTACACACAGACGCTTTTACACACAGACGCTTTGACACACAGACGCTTTGACACACAGACGCTTTTACACACAGAGGCTTTTACACACAAACACTTTTACACACAAACACTTTTACACACAGACGCTTTTACACACAGACGCTTTTACACACAGACGCTTTGACACACAGACGCTTTTACACACAGACGCTTTGACACACAGACGCTTTTACACACAGAAGCTTTTACACAAGTAAAATCGCAATTTTTCCTCAGTTTTTGACGATCGACCCTCATTTCGCGCGAAAGGGTTGCTCCAGGACAAGTAAAATCGCAGTTTTACCTCAGTTTTTGCCGTTCGACCCTCATTTCGTGCGAAAAGGTTGCTCCGGCACAAGTAAAATCGCAGTTTTACCTCAGTTTTTGCCGATCGACCCTCATTTCGTGCGAAAGGGTTGCTTTAGGACAAGTCAAATCGCAGTTTTACCTCAGTTTTTGCCGATCGACCCTCATTTCGTGCGAAAGGGTTGCTTTAGGACAAGTCAAATCGCAGTTTTACCTCAGTTTTTGCCGATCGACCCTCATTTCGTGCGAAAGGGTTGCTCCAGGACAAGTCAAATCGCAGTTTTACCTTAGTTTTTGCCGATCGACCCTCATTTCGTGCGAAAGGGTTGCTCCGGGACAAGTCAAATCGCAATTTTACCTCAGTTTTTGCCGATCGACCCTCATTTCGTGCGAAAGGGTTGACGTTTCGTGACTCGCCGCCGGCACCACCCTCGGCCTTAAGAGAGAAAGATAAAAAGAAGGCAAGAGGGCAAGAGGGCAAGAGGGCAAGAGGACAAGAGGAGAAGATGTGAGATGAAAAGATGTGAGAAGATGTGAAGATGAGAAGATGTGAAGATGAGAAGATGTGAAGATGTGAAGATGTGAGAAGATGTGAGAAGATGTGAGAAGATGTGAGAAGATGTGAGAAGATGTGAGAAGATGTGAGAAGATGTGAGAAGATGTGAGAAGATGTGAGTGGAGGTGTGAGAAGATGTGAGTGGAGGTGTGAGAAGATGTGAGTGGAGGTGTGAGAAGATGTGAGTGGAGGTGTGAGAAGATGTGAGAAGATGTGAGAAGATGTGAGAAGATGTGAGAAGATGTGAGAAGATGTGAGAAGATGTGAGAAGATGTGAGAAGATGTGAGAAGATGTGAGAAGATGTGAGAAGATGTGAGAAGATGTGAAGATGAGAAGATGAGGAGATGAGAAGATGAGGAGGTGAGAAGATGTGAAGATATGAAGATGAGAAGATGAGGAGAAGATGTGAGGATGAGAAGATGTGAAGATGAGAAGATGTGAAGATGAGAAGGTGTGAAGATGAGAAGATGTGGAGATGAGGGATGAGGAGAAGATGTGAAGATGAGAAGATGTGAAGATGAGAAGATGTGAAGATGAGAAGATGTTTCACAGACCCCCACTATTGGAAGAACCCTGCGCTCAGACGCTCTCGGGAAAAAACACACTGCGGCGACACCGTGAGGGAGACACGTCGGAGGGATGTGCTAGATATCTTCATGTGTTTGTAGTCTGTTGTGTTAACACTGTAGGACCTGTTGAAGTTTCAATTTAGGAACATGAGGATCGTATCAGTACACGGTAGATGGATGGATAGATAGACAGATAGGTAGATAGACAGATAGATAGATAGATAGATAGACAGATAGAGAGGTGGATAGATAGATAGATAGATAGATAGATAGGTAGATAGGTAGATAGGTAGATAGGTAGATAGGTAGATAGGTAGATAGGTAGATAGGTAGATAGGTAGATAGATAGATCGATAGATAGATAGATAGGTAGATAGGTAGATAGGTAGATAGGTAGATAGATAGATAGATCGATAGATAGATAGATAGATAGGTAGATAGGTAGATAGATAGATAGATATATAGATCGATAGATAGATAGATAGATAGACAGACAGATAGATACATAGATAGACAGACAGATAGATACATAGATAGACAGACAGATAGATAGATAGATAGATAGATAGACAGATAGACAGATAGATAGATAGACAGATAGACAGCTAGACAGATAGACAGATGAAAGAAAGAGAGAGAGAGATAGATAATTAGATGAAAGAGAGAGATAGATAGATAGATCGATAGATAGATAGATACATAGAAGATAGGTTGGTAGGCAGGTAGATAGTCAGAGAAAGAGAGAGAAAGAGAGGAGACCTCAAGCACCTTTCGGTCCATCAGTGGCTTCGCTCTGCCATCCGTGATTCACAACAACCAACCTCTCCTATAGGTTTCCTATTTTTGAAACTTCCGCCACCGCCTTGTGCGGTACTACTGGTATTAACTATCATGGTATGTCATGAATCATTACTCACTAAGATTGTTGAAATGGGGTAAGTATCGTTGACTACCAGTCGTACCGCACGAGGCGGTGGCGGAAGTTTCCAAAATTTGAATAGGAAAGGGTGGAATGTCTTGATGTTGCGATGTCGGAACGATCAACGGGTGGAGTGAAAGTCGCTTTCTGGTTTCAAGATCCTCCTGGCGCAACGGAGCTATGTGTCCATCTGCTCTATCTGATCTACCTGTTCTACCTGACCTTTCTGATCTAAATCTTGTTATTTATTTATCTATCTATCTTCTCTATCCATCTGATTGATGAGTATGCAGGCAGCCATTCTGCAAGACTTCCTCAAAAGTGAAATTGGCAGAGCTGAAAACGCAATTTTGCGAGACTTCCTCCAAAAATGGAAGTTGCAAAGCTGAAAGCGAGGAAATTCTATGAGACTTCTTCAAAAAATGGAAGTTGTAGAGTTGAAAACGAAGCAGTTCTGCGAGACTTACTTCATTTTCTTGAATGTTGACTGCAGACCTTGCGGCTCCGTACTATCGCGTTTTGTGACTTTTTGATGTTGAGTGTTGAAAGTCTTGCGCCTGCCACGAAAAAGTGACGCCGAGTCATCCGAAGATTCCGAAGTGCTGCGCCTGCCACGCAACATGATTTGCAAAATCTGAGAAATCAGAACTTCAAAGGTGCAACCCCTCTCACGAAATGAGCGCTCCGACCTCTAAGCATGAGCATGTCAAAGTTCCCCATATGCTGCCCCTGCCACGAAAAATGCAGCTTTTCTTCAAATCCCCCACGCCTGCCAACGTTTTTGGAAAGTATTAAAAAAAAACACGGGGTTTTTGATCCTTTTTGCAACGTGCAGAATTCCTTGCGCTTGCCACGAAAGATGCAGTTCTGACGTTGAAAAGTGGCCCGGGCATGTGGGAATCTTACGGTATTGACTTACAAGCCGGCACCGCGCCACAACGAGAGCTCATTTTTCGACATCTCAACTTCCCAAAGCGGCTCGGTCCAAAAGCGGCTCGGTGCTGACACTTTTTTGGACTTTGCAAATCGGCACCGCGCCACTACGAGAGCTCATCTTTGTCTAAGCTTTTCCAGCTGAGCTCTCCGCACCCGCCGCTTTAGCGAGCTAACTTTCTGAGCCTCCAGAGCCACCAAACATGGAAAAAACACAGCATTTCGATGCATTTCGCGACTTTTCTACTCTTTATCTCGCACGTGCGCATCTCTTGATTGTCTATCTCTTGACAGATTAACATCTATCTTTTGACAGACTATTGCTGCAACTTTGGATATTGTCGGAAGTTTGACTTCTAAATTTCCTTCGATCAATGTTATTAGCTATCATGGTATGTCCATTGTTAAACTCTCGTTACTAAGATTGTTGAAATAGGTTAACTACCATTGACAATCACTGGCTCTTAACGATCAATGTACAACGATCATCTCTTGAATATCTAGATGAAAATGGTCGCTCCAGGTTCGGAGAGCTCTTCCTGCCGCGCTGACATGTCGACAGCATGGCACATCTAACGGATACCTAAGATGTCGCAAATTGGAAGCGATGAACGATTTTTCGGAGAAAAACATGGACTCAGTCACTTCGTGTAACTGATTTAAAGGATCGGATATCCGCTGACATCCCACTTTGGTGTTGATGAAATTTAGATGTGAACCACGGGCAGCTTATAAATTCACTGCAAATGCTCATGGCTCATGGGAGGCTCACGGTGACATGTTTACTGCAAAAAGTTGAAAGGTCGAAGTCAAACCGCAAAAGTCACAGGCAAATCGGAAACCATTTCCCAAAAAAAACATGACGATCAGCCATCCGATGACTATCCGATGACATCCCGCAATGACTCTGGTGTCATCTGATGAGATTTTGAAACCACGAGCAACGGCAGCATCTAATTCATTGCAATTTTGAGATGCCATAGATGCCTACCTGCGCCACATGGCGGAGGTTTTTAGTCGAGTCACAAGCGCTTGGAATTATTTTATCAACACCTGCAATGATTTTGTGCGCCTGGACGCATGTGATGCTTCTCTCCAGATGCATGTGAATGAGGCATGGAATTTGTATCACTGCAGCGCATGAAAACATGACAAAACCCATGATTTTTCATGTTGCATTCGCCAGTATAACTATGCGTCACTTATCCTGGGAGAAATGTCGTTCTTTTCGGTCATGTTTGCTTCAATGCTCGAAGCATCAGAATCCTCGGAAGACGTCCACGCCAGACTGCAACCAGCAGAAACCTGGCTGGTCACCGTTTCACCTCGAAGATTACCCTTCGATGGGAGAAAACAGCTTAAGCGAAGTCAACCTGAAGGATCTCAAGGTTCTAGAAGGCTGTTGTGAAGATTCACTTGAAAATCTTCCAGAAGGTTTTCCTGAAGGTTTTTCCTAAAGGTGAAGATGTTTCAATCTTTCGAACTGGTCCCACAAACAAAATTTCGCTCTTCGACCTGTCGAATGTCGGATGCGTGCCCAACTCGGCGCTTCAGCTTGAGGCATACGCAGAAACGGTGAAAATCGGAAAAAACGTGAAGCAACATCATACATCTAGCAACACATCATGCTGATATCGTAGACTTAAAGGTTGGCGTGACTGTAGCGAAAGATTTTGAAAACCCTACTTGAGTTTGTACCAAGGGGAATCAAATGGCGCGTTTGTTGAAAACACAACGACGCAACTTGAGACTGCCGTTTTCGTAGGGACCCAATGCTAGAGGAAGATAAGGTGCTTGTAATTTTGCCTGGTCAACATTTGTCAATGTCTTGCCATGTGTTTGTCATGCAAGTTTCTGTGCCAAGGCACTCGGCGACTGCCAGTTTTTATTTTCAGGCGCCTTTCATGTCCTATGACTTTCAGAGTTTATGTTCATCATTTTCTCATCCATATCTTCAAAGTCACGTATATTTTGTGGGTTGTACTCATGTTTTTCATTGCGACTATCTTGTCGTTGTTCAAAGTCTCAACAAGTTTCATGTTTCGTTCATGGTCGTTCATGCATTCATCACCGTTCATCTTTGTTATTTATTGTTTAGTTGGTTAAGTTTTCACTTTCACATCCTTTTGAAGCCTCATACTGCATGATGGATCACATTGAGAGTGACGCTCAAAACCGACAGGGCCTTTGTGCTTGGAAAATTGTAGCTCTTCTAAGGGCAGCTTTTTGCGCCGTGGCAAATCTTAAAATAAAAACACACGAGGTCAGCGCAACATCAGACGTCTTTGTTTTGTCGTTGTGGTTTTCCTTGGCAGGCGATAACAAAAGTGCAGTCTTGTGGCATGTTTTCTTGCCGTTGGTCGCCTTATTCCGTTTTTCATTGCTGTTCGTTTTGCGGCTGAGTTGAGAATTCGCTTACTTTAACTCCACGGCTGCAACAGTATTTTGCATTTATTGGGTTGGAAACCAAGTGTAGCATGCACCTTTCTACTTTCAAAAGATGTTACGAAACAGTATCCAAAAAGCGAGAAAACGCAGACAGCTTACAGGCGCTTCCCCTTTGTTTGTGCTCGACGCGTCCCATTGTTCCCACCATTGTCATTTTTTCGATTTTTTTCGGGCCTAGTTTTTACTATGTCAATGGGGATGGATAGTAGGTGTGAGGCGCATGTTTCATTTTGACGAGCTGCAGTTTTCAATCCGGGGCTTCCAATAACCGCTTTGTTTCACCACGAAACAGCCCAGTGGAACTTTGGTATTGCGTCATCCGCAGCTACGGGGTGATTTTGGGTGCCTAATGCTTGCTTGATCGTTTTTAGGTTTGTTTTTAGTGGCGCTGGGTTGCGGCTACCAAAAGGGGCAACTTTTCCACAAAAAAAATTGTTTCAAGGTCCCCAACGATGAGCTCTTGTGGATTGTTTGCCAGAACCGTGATGGGATGAAAACAGATGTGACATGATGTGAAATTAATGACATCCATTGACACCCATTTCAAAATTCGACAAAAAACTGGCGGTGGAACAGCATTTCAACCTGTCAAACGCTTGGACATTCGCCTCTTTGGCTCGGAAGCTGCCGAAGACAACGTGCCTCCGGCGCCATGCCATGCCACGCCGTCCGTGGCCTCCATGTCCTCGTGGTGTTGGCCTTGACGCCTTTGTCGGCGGCTCAGGGCGGAGCGCGAAGATGTGTCCGTTCGAAGGTCAACCCAGTGACCGAACTGGCAGTGACCAAACCGCCAACAGGCCAACAGGTCCCAGTGATTTTGAGATGATCGAGATGGTTGAAGGAAAAGAAAGATGAATTTGGAAACAACGACTTGCAAAAAACAAAGACGTCATGCTGGGGTCCGAACCAGTAACAAGCAGAACATGTAACAACTCCAAGGACGTGCCTGTTTTTGTTCGCGAATTTCCATCATGACCGACATGATCCAGGTCCATGGCTGGCATGGAAGCCAAGGCCAGGTCAAGACCAAACTGCACATCGACTGATTTGTTGAGATCTACATGAGATCATCTATGAGATCACCTCAATGAAATGATTTATGAGATCATCTCATGATTTTCTACTGATATCCTTTATCCTGCTAATATCCGCACTGATATCCGAGATATCTCCACTTGCAGTATGATCAAATCCTGCTGATATCCCACTGATTTCGTCACAGAAATTTATAGCTTTGTCATTCTGCGTACTTTTTTCGGTCTTGGACACGGGTGTCGGCCTTTTCCACGAAGCATGGGTTACCGTTTTTGACATTTGACATTTTGTTTTCTTCTTTTCAGGCGAGTAGAAAAAGTGTTCTGTGGCACCGCATGTTTTCCCTTTCGTAGCTGCCGGCAGAAGTCGCAGCAAGAGATCGTCAGGCCAACACTTGGCACAAAGTCACGGCTGCATGATTTATGATCGAATTTCCGGGTCCTGCAACCTTGAAAATAAAGATCTATAGGCGTTTTCCATCTTTATTATATTTTCAGCAACGGACATGTTTGTTCAGGATAGATCTTGAAGCCGGCGGAATGTCGTCGCATGATATCCTCCACATGGTCAAAACCACTCGGTATAGTGACTTGCACTGACAGAGCGGGATGCAAAGCAGCATGCATTTTAAGCAAATGTCAAAAGACCATCACGTTTCCAGACGCTGTTCGCGCAAACCACCCTGTATTGACATGATATGACATGTGTTTCGTTCTTTTTGGGTGAGTAGAAAGTGTGTTCTTTGGCACCGCGTGTTTTCCATTTCTTAGCTGCCGGCAGAACTCGCGGCAAGAGATCGTCAGGCCAACACTTGGCACAAAGTCACGGCTGCCGGTGCCCCAACTGAGCGGCGCCACCACACGGCAGTCCTGGATTCGCAGCAGCGGATGTGGATCTTCGATGGCTTTAGCAGTTGCAGCCCCAGAAGTCCAAGCGATGCGCACTGAGTGACACTTCTTGCTGTCGCCTGTGGGTGCCATGTGTTGGGGGGGTCGCTGCTGCCATGTGGCCCTAAGGTGGACGTTATCTGAATGACCTGCACTACTTCAGCATTGAGGCAATGTTTGCTGGGAGAGTTTGCGCATTGAGTTGTTTTTGCAAGTTTTTGCTTTGGATTTCCTGTGTTCATGTGCCAGTTTACTGGGTAGAGCTCGGTTTGTGACTTGACTACGCCATAGGTAGCGCTCTTTGTTGTTGCAAATCTGGCGTACAGATGCTTTATAGAAGCTGCTGTGCAGGGTGCAGTCTGGGGAATCGTCATCACATCACATCAGCCACATGCGGGGTCAAAACCGATTGGTCCACAAAAGAGGTTCGCGGTGATATTTACGGACCAAGCTGCACTAATGATGTACAAGACAAAATCAGGTTGATCTGATTGAGCAAATATCAAAAGCCCATCACGTTTCCAGACGCTGTTGCGTGAACCACCCTGTCTTGACATGATATGACATGTGTTTTGTTCTTTTCAGGTGAGTAGAAAGTGTGTTCTGTGGCACCGCGTGTTTTCCATTTCTTAGCTGCCGGCAGAAGTCGCGGCAAGAGATCGTCAGGCCAACACTTGGCACAAAGTCACGGCTGCCGGTGCCCCAACTGCGCGGTACAGCCACACGGCAGTCCTGGATTCGCAGCAGCGGATGTGGATCTTCGGTGGCTGGAGCCGTTGCAGCCCCAGAAGTCCAAGCGATGCTCACTGAGTGACACTTTTTTGCTGTCCCCTGTGGGTGCCGTGTGGGGGGGGTCGCTACTGCCATGTGGCCCCAAGGTGGTTATATGAATGACCTGCACTACTTCAGCATTGAGGCAATGTTTGCTGGGAGAGTTTGCGCATTGAGTTGTTTTTGCAAGTTTTTGCTTTGGATTTCCTGTGTTCATGTGCCAGTTTACTGGGTAGAGCTCGGTTTGTGACTTGACTACGCCATAGGTAGCGCTCTTTGTTGTTGCAAATCTGGCGTACAGATGCTTTATAGAAGCTGCTGTGCAGGGTGCAGTCTGGGGAATCGTCATCACATCACATCAGCCACATGCGGGGTCAAAACCGATTGGTCCACAAAAGAGGTTCGCGGTGATATTTACGGACCAAGCTGCACTAATGATGTACAAGACAAAATCAGGTTGATCTGATTGAGCAAATATCAAAAGCCCATCACGTTTCCAGACGCTGTTGCGTGAACCACCCTGTCTTGACATGATATGACATGTGTTTTGTTCTTTTCAGGTGAGTAGAAAGTGTGTTCTGTGGCACCGCGTGTTTTCCATTTCTTAGCTGCCGGCAGAAGTCGCGGCAAGAGATCG